TGATATTACGTGTTCCGGTAGAGAATTCCAGTAATTCACTACTCGGTGCGAGAAACGGAACTCCAGACGTAAACGGTTTGATCTCGGTTTTTGAACTTTCTTCGAATGTCCTCTCAAATGATCGGTTCTAGACGGAAGCAAAAGATAAGACATGTTAATACCAAGGTCATCGTTCAGTATACGATAAGCCAATATTAGACCACCCTGTACTCTACGGTAAGATAACGGAAATAAGTTAAGGTGTCTCAGTCTGTCTTCATAAGATAGACCAGCTAGACCTTGTACCATCTTAATAGCTCGTCGTTGGACTCTTTCTAGCATATCTGCTTCATATTTGAAACAAGGACTCGCTGCTTGAATCCCGTATTCTAAATGTGGTCGCACATAAATCGGGTATAGTAATCCAAACATTTCATCATCTAAATACTGGAAAGACCTACGAATTGACCATAATACCCTATAGCCTTTTGCAGCAGCAGCCTTACAGTGACTAGTCGTTTTGAGATCATTGCTTGATATAACTCCTAAGTCTTTATAGTTTCTTGCTTTGGGTAGCACGAATCCACGTAGTGTATAGTCATACGATTCATCTGAGTTATTTAAGTGCATCACTACACTCTTATTAGGATTTACTTCTAGTGACCACCTGTCTAACCATGCCACCAATGAGGTAAGATCGTCCTGTAATACTATTCTATCCGACATACTATGTATGGGTCTACAAATCTTTATGTCATCAGCGAAGAGTAGAACGGATGATTTTGCTACAGTTGGCAATTCATTTACATAAAGTAAAAAGAGAAGAGGACCTAGGATTGTGCCTTGGGGAACCCCACTTTTTACAGGTACCCACGAGGAGAGAGCCCCATTAACCCTTACCCTTTGTCTCCTGTCATGGAGAAAGTTACTTATCCAATCGACGACTGTGTTATGGATTCCAAAACGTTTCAGTTTGAATTTAAGACCAGAGTGTGAAACCTTATCAAAGGCTTTACTTAGATCTATGAAAATTACATCCACACAAGCATTCCGATCCTTTGCCGCAGCCCACTCTTCTCGTGCAATGAGAAGATTTGTCAAGCAAGATAGGCCTTTCTGAAAACCATGTTGTGCCCTGGAGAAAAGATTTTCCCCTTCAACATAGTTTATAACAGCTGTCCGAATGATTTTCTCCATCAGTTTCACAACTGCACTAGTTAAGCTAACGGGTCTATAGTTACTAACTAAATCCCTACTCCCAGCCTTATACACTGGACTTATTATAGCGTTTTTCCAATCTCTGGGCAGTCTGGACTGTCTCAGAGACATGTCAAACAGTATCGTTAATGGTTCAGCAATTTCATCTGGTATGGCTTTCATAATCCTAGGATGAATATCATCAGGACCACTGGACTTATCAAGTTTGAGATGCTGAAGTAGCCTTAAAACAGTACCTTTCTCAATGACTACAGGATCCATCAGCGAGCCGTCACGGTCACGATGAATCGTTGGTCGTTCCTCATTACCGATAGAAAATACTTTACTAAAATGTTCCGATAAAGCTTCAGCCTTTTTGGCATCATTTTCGGCCAAGATTAACGGATTTTCTTGTATCAAAAGTGATGGAATTCCATCGCTTCTCTGAGTTCGCCTTTTTATATACAAGAATAACCGTTTCGGACAATATCTAGAATCCCTAACCAATTTTTTTCGTATGAATGTCTAGTCTTGCTTATTAACGCTTTACAGGCATTCCTAATCTTACAATAACTGGATCTGTATTGTTCTAAGCCAGTAGAGATGAACATATTCCAGTGATTCTTCCTTTTTCTAAGAAGTTTCCTGACTGGTTTAGTTATTCATGGTGGACTATTATTCGGTCTTCGCGGTACCAGGTATGGTATGAACAGGGACGTAACTAGTCTAAATTTACCTTTAAATACAGACCATGCTTCTTCAACTGATATGCTAGTATCTACTAACCAATCTGTCTTAGCAGCGCATTCCTGAATGGCTGATATGTTAGCTTTCCATAGATTTGGGCGCGGTGTAACCTGATCGTATAACATGTCCCTAGTTCTAAACGTAAATGACAAAACAGCGTGATCGCTGTTTACTAACGGTGGATGAATATTTAGGTCGACAATATCCTCAGTCTCATGAGTGATTACCAAGTCCAATAGAGAAGAACCTTGGTTAGCACCAAAACGTGTGGGTTTGGATACATTTTGCACTAATGCATGCTCCATTATTGTTACCAGGAACCCACTATCAAAGGAGTTTATAGATACTTTTGTGGTCATCTCAGTCCAACTAATGTCAGGTGCATTAAAGTCTCCTATTATCAAGCACCTGGTATTATCACTCCAAAGATGAATGTGCTTTAAAACAAAGTCATCAGCTAAGCAGATTGAGCTCCGATAGATGACATCTAGCATAAATGTACTACATCCTATAGCCAACTTACAGCTAATGACTTCACAAGTGCCGCTATCATGGGATTCGCTAGTAGAGGAGCGGATATTTATGCCATTGGCTATATATAACAGGACGCCGCCTCCTTTTCTACATCTATGTCTATCACTCCTGATGTAATGGTATCCGGATAATTCTGGAGTAATGTCTAAGTCATGGACTAACCAAGTTTCTGTCACTGCTACTATGAGTGGCTTTAACCTGTCTACTAATGCTTCTAGTTCGTAGAACTTATTTCGTAAACTACGAGCGTTGGCATATAAAACTCCTAAGTAGAACAGCCTATCCACACAGGCCTTGGTAGCATTCGCTTCCAAGACCTGACTATCCGAAAACTCACTAGTCGGAGATTTTCCTCGCCGTTTTGCCGACGGGTTTCAAGTATAACCACCAATGTTACACATCACATCATGACCACAGGATCACCTGTATTCTCGAAAGCACGCCGACTGATTCCTGAAAAGCTGAGGCTGGTTAAAAACAAATTCGACCACATGATAGATTTAGGAATCATTCGGCCGTTAAACAACTCGTGGGCATCTCCCTTGCATATGGTCCCTAAAAATGACAGCATCGACTGGCGTTCAACTGGTGGCTATCAGCGATTGAGTGTGAAAACCATTCCCGATCGCTACCTGTTGCCCGACATTCATGACTTGGCAGCCACCTTGAAAGATATAACTGTCTTTTCGAAAATCGACTTGGTTGGAGCCTATAACCAAATTCGCATGGCCACTGATGACATTCCAAAAACCGAAATCGTAACTCCTCTCGTTCTGTACGAATTTTTGAGCATACCTTTCGGCCTGAGAAATGCTGCCCAAACCTTCTGAAGGTTTATAGATGACGTTTTTCGAGGTCACATCTTCATACATGCGTACGTTGATGATTGCTTGATAGCATCTGGATCTTGACTGCAAAAGCATGGCTTTACTGTAAGCATTCGGAAACGCAAAATCGGAACTGACTCCCTAGATTTCCTCGGATACATCATTGATGCTCAAGGCATACGACCTCTGAGAAGCAACGTGGCGGCTATTATGGATTACTTAGAACCGACCACCATCAAGCAACTACGTACATTTAACGGCCTTGTAAGTTTCTATAGAAGGCTCACACCAAACTGAAATCTGTCATTAACTGACTTCGTGTAAATGCGAAGTCCATCAGTTTGAACGATAACACGAGAAAAGCATACTCCACAATTAAGGAACTTATCGCAAAAAACAACCATGCTTGCACACCAGGACACCCAAGCACCCATTAGCATTGCAGTAGACGCATTTGACTCGGCAATCGGAGGAGACCTACAACAATGGGTTAACCATACCTGGCAACCTTTGACATTGTTTCAAAACAGCTGCTAGACACTGAATCGAGGCATAGCACTTTCGGCATGGAAGTCAAAGCCATGTGCTTTGCTGCACGGCACTCTCAAAATTATATTGAGGTTCGAGAATCCACCCTTTCCACAGATCACGAACTTCTTACCTTCTTTTTAAGCTCATCTTCAGATAAGTTCTCCACCCGAATCTCGACAACTGGACTACATTTCTCAATTTACTTTGGACATCCGGCCAACGTCCTATAAACGTATTATTACTCGCTGTTTCATGGCCAGTTTCTTTTTTTTTCCGTTTGCCTTACAGCTCGGCAATGCTCGGGGATTCATATTGGTCGTATGGGAACCTCCGGTGCGCGACTACTCCTAACATGTTTGGTACCTACTCAATAGGCCGTTTAATCTGGTGTGGGGGTTGTAGGGCCAGTGAAATGTCATTGAGCCCTAGCCAAATCCCCCGGCAGTTGGGTTACAGAATATCGACCAGATCACGAGCGAGAACGCCGTGCCCAATTCCTCCTACAAACGCCAGCCAGTTTAGATCAGTCACTTCTCCATATATTGACAGCCTATCAGATATAACTTCGAACCTTTTCTCTCCTGGCTTCTGATTCCATCGGATGGGCAAGTTTCGATTATAGAAGATGTTATTAGTCAAGGTGTCGTCAAACTCCAAATACATGTGGCGTCTTCAGGATTAAGAATGTCACTGATTCTCACTACCTGGCAACGATGTTGTCTATAATACCTATTAAACTGAGGAAATAAAAGCCAGTCAAACCACAGATCATGAATGAATACACTCGGGGAGATATTTGGAAGGTAGATGATGCATCGAGCACTATGTGCTCCAAGACTAGTTGTTGTAAGAGCTGTTCAGTGTGACGTGCTAAAACGTGATCTAGTGTGAATGATTGGTCAAGTGCCTTCAGCTAAGATGTGTCCAGCAGAACCAATAAGATCAGAATCAATGTCTAAGGCTTAGAACTATTACTTTCTGGAGTTTCATTTACCGCTACTGAATTAGTATGGTTCCCATTTGAACCTTATCATTAGGTTATTAATAATGGAGAATAAAGAATCATTGATATTAAGAATGCCTATCCTAAATATCTTCAATTATTAATCTCACTGAGTATTTCCTATGAAAGATTCTTACAGATACTCGAAAACTGTTATTCAGATCTCATAAATCGTTAGCTTATTTTGAGATTTGAATATTTTGGAGCGCGTCAGTCAACAGTTGCGTTCTGCTGCCAGCGCAAATGTTTTGTTTCGGTATTCCGTGGTTTGATATCCATACATTTGAATATCACCGGTTTTAGTATGATCCCTTCAACTTGGGATGAGCTTAGAATACAAGCTCGAATACTGGAGAGCGAGATTGATTCAAAATTAGCTGCTTTTGGTAAAATTGGAACTCGACCAGTAGAACACAAACACATTCCTCGTTTTACCAATTCTGGAATAATCAGTAAAAGCAATGTAATCCCAGAAGTACCGTCACATGTAGATTTCGACACAAACTTCAACGTAATGTGCAATGAAATAGAAGAACAACTGCAGAGGTGAGTCAAAGTATACTTTGACCATATATGTCCATATATGGACTCATCCTCAGTAATAATTATACTAAACTAACCTTTCTGATATCCACACTAAGGAATTTTTCAGAGATCCGTGCCATCTTCTGAGGGTACAGAAGTGTTTTTTGTTCTACAGCATAGAAGGTATAAGATTATCCCCAATTGTAAGGTCGTGACAATGAAAATTCGCGACTAATTAGATCTCATGTCCCAAATGTGGTCATGTATGTCGTATACAATAAATCAATTTGGATCCAATTTTTAAACTACCTCAAAATATACCTAAACAATCGTCAACCTACAGTTAACTGAGGTTTTGAAGTAGTTACTTACTATGACCCCTGAATCCTTATAATTGTAACATTAGGTAAATACATTTCATTTATAATCTGGTAATGTAAATCGGCACAAATACTTGGATTACGATGGTATTATTGGAATTTACTTTAACGATTATCAGCTTATTCACTTGCATCTAATCCCATATTATTACCATTTTCATTGACTCAGTCCTTCCAATCTTCGTAAAATTCCAATCGGTATAGTGACATGAAGCAACATCCCTAGTGTGGGAATCATATCAGATTGAGCTGGTGTAGTCTACGGATGGACATCTTCAGGACTACCGAACTTGTTTGGTTCGCGATGTTGGAGTAGTGAGACAACCTTTTTACATATACGGGATCCACCATCATTATGCCAACATTGCAAATATTGCCTTTTTTTCCACTGTCATTCACTTTGTGTTCTCCCAAATTCTAATCTTCTGAATTCTTCATATCCCTTTTTTCTCTTCCCAAATTTATTTCACTGGATTATACTCCTTAAATAACATCTTCAAACCCTAGTGTTTATGATTACTGCTTATACTCTTACTGTCTCTACTACTATGGGATTTGAATCGTCAATTCGAGCTGATGTACGTACGTACGAATTTCTACGTTGTGGACTGACTGAAAGGCAGTTTGTGAAGTATCTTTGTCTAGGATGTTTTGTGACCTATCTATCCATGAAACGTAGTTACTGGGTCTACATGAGGTTATCCACAGCATGAGGGAGGTAGCAACGTTTCGAAAGCTACTTTTAAACTTGAACCATGCCTTTTCTTTAGAAGTTTTAGTATCAAATAACTAGCCAATTTATAAAACACTATCTAAGAATAGCCCATAGTTCTAACAAAATTATCTGGGTGTTCATTTTTAAGTGAAGCTAATGTGATGTGCTTTCGAGCGATCGATTATCATTTGAACACATAAATTTTGGTACAGAGCGGCACCGAATACATATGCGCCACACAAGTCACTTGATTTTTGTGTGGGCTTTAATGCTGCCCAGACCGAAGCAGGTGATTTTCCTAGGAGGCCACACCCGGAGCCCTCGACCTAAAGGTCTGATCCACAAGGCAGTGGCGCAACTTCAGGAGATGCAGTCACATAGCAGCCGGTGACCAGTAATTGGTTCATACGCCGTTCGTTCCCTCAGGATCCTGGAGCCACTGAAAATTAAGTTAAGATTGGCGCAGACCTGGGCATGATCAGAGTCCAGATAGGTACTCCAAAAGGAGCGGCAGGCTTGAGATGCAGCGGGGGGACGCCAGATGGCACGTCGGCGATGACTGTGCCAAAAGTTAGTGCTAGCCAGAAACAGGTTGTGGTCTGTGCACAGTTGCAGTAGACGATCCCCGTTATCTGACCTGCGACCAACGAGTCCCCATCGGCCACCTAAACGACTCTCTTCTGTGCCTAGACGCCCGCCCTGAGCATTCAAGTCTCCGGCTAGTACTACAGTATCTGTCGAACGCACTTTCTGGAGAAGAACAGTTAACTGGTGGTAGGACTCATCGTTGGTTGCATCCGGGCTGCAATCTGTCGGGGCATAAGCGGAGATGACAAAAAGATATCGTTTCTCGCGCCGATTTCTTCTCACTTTGATGGAACTTTCTAATCTAACAGCACATAACCAACCGACTGTTAATGGGGATCCAATCAATTAGTGCTGCCTCAGCTCTAGCACTTAGTGCGACACCAACGCCAGCGAGACCAGACGAAGATGCCACAGTCTCCAGGTAAACGCACGTAAAACAAGACTACGGGATTTGAATCGACAACTGCATCTCTGTGCTAACGTAGTGTGACAACTCGAACTGATGTAAGTACGTACGAAGTTCTACGTTGTTACTGACTGACTGACGTAAAACAAGCTTTTTAAGGCGACAGGTGGAGAGCGAATTTGTAGTTCTTCACCAGTCTTGGATACGGCTCTCGGATAGACAACAAACGTCGATATTAAGACTTCCCAAAGACATAGCCAGCCCTATCTGTTGTCCGACCTGCATAAGTGTGCGAACGTTGAAGGCAGCTAGTTTGAATGGTGCATGTGATTTCAGAAAAACTGAATCAGTATTCGTACTTGGTGGTAGCATACAATTTTCAATCAGGCAGTGACTCGAGGACGTTTAGATAGAACCGAATTTCCACCATAGGCGAGCTGCTGTATAAGTCGAAAAATAAGGATGCATGAAGTGGGAATTAAGGGAGAGTGAATAAATGACGTAGTAAATAAAGATAATAATAATAATGTGAATTGTCTGACTGTTAATCGAAGCGTGAACAGAATTTTCAGTAAATGTCATTTTCATTTCATTTGTGTGTGGGCTGTGATACTGCCCGGGTGCCCAGACCGAAGCAGGTAATTTTCTTAGGAGGCCACACAACGAACCTTTGACCTAAAGATCTGACCCACAAGGCAGTGGAGCATCGTGAGGAGATGCAGTTCCATGGTAGCCGGTGACCAACGATTCGTTCATACTCCATTTGTCCCCTCAGGATACTGGAGCCCATGTGCACCATTGGTTTGGTATCCGGTTAAGGCGCCGGACATTTGCTTTTCGTCCTCTCATTTTTGTAAACAACACCCCCGCCACGAGAAGGTAGTGGGTATGATTTCCCTGGCAGAGACTGTATACGCGTGGCCATGTGAGAGCAGTTGGAGAGGGAGGACGGACCCACCCCACTTTCGGCCATACCAGGGCCATATTGGAATTCCATCTAGGGTCTCAACATCTGAGGCATATCATTTAATGAAGAACTGTAATCGAAGATTTTGCCTTTAATTGGGATAATGGTTCACTTAAATTCACCTTCGAAAAGTGAGATGTTTTAGCCTGGTAATCGTTCAATCTGAAATTCTCAAACATAAACAACGTAAAAATATCAAACGTATTCTATTATAAGCGTTTCTGAAGCTCTTTTCATTTTGTATGGTAATAAGTGAAATATGTTTGAATTAGAAATAGTCTCGTGTTATTGAATTAAATTATTCACCAAAGTCACTGACCTATACTGGAAAAGATTACCCGGACGGGTGCTGCACGGAAGGATGATAGACTTATCAAGTACTCCTTTTCGCATAAATTTTGGTTATGTTCATGTATAGAGGAGTATCACTAATGAGGTCGCTAGCAAACGGATGTGTGCTCCTAAATATTGGTAAACCGGAGTCCCTCCGGGGGCTACTGCCGGTCCCAAGCCCGGATAAAGGAGGAGGGTTGGGCATGGGGTTAGCGTCCCCATCCCGTAGAAAACTAACTCGCTAAAAAAACGCTAACCAGAAAAAATTATTCAAACCTTTTAAACTCTGCCCTGGGAGTCAGAAGGTCTTCATTTAGAAGAATTATGACGCCTCATGATGAAAGCCGAATTCCTTCGGAAGTTACGAGGCCGATGCCCCTTCTGACAACCAGAGCAACCATTTATTTAGGTACATGGAATGTTCGTACAATGTGGGACACCGGAAGAGCCTTCCAAATTGCTGCAGAAATGAGAAGATACAACCTAGAGGTACTTGGGATCAGTGAAACACATTGGACACAAGTTGGACAACAACGACTAACTACAGGAGAGCTCCTGTTATACTCCGGCCATGAAGAAGAAAATGCACCACATACACAAGGAGTTGCATTGATGCTGTCCAAACAAGCGCAAAATGCACTTATAGGATGGGAATCTCATGGACCAAGGATCATCAAAGCCTCCTTCAAAACAAAGAAAGAGGGCATTTCAATGAACATCATCCAATGCTATGCGCCTACCAACGACTACAATGAAGACGCTAAAGATCAATTCTACAATAGGCTGCAGTCAATCGTCGAGAAGTGCCCAACAAAGGACCTGACCATTCTGATGGGAGATTTCAACGCCAAGGTTGGAACGGACAACACTGGATATGAAGACATCATGGGACGACACGGACTGGGAGAAAGAAGCGAAAATGGTGAGAGATTTGCAAATCTATGTGCCTTCAATAAGCTGGTCATAGGCGGCACCGTATTCCCACATAAACGCATACACAAAACCACATGGACTCCACCGGATCACTCTACACAAAACCAAATCGACCATATTTGCATCAACAAAACGTTCAGGAGGACTATAGAGGACGTGAGAACCAAGAGAGGAGCTGATATAGCATCAGATCATCACTTACTGGTCGCCAAGATGAAATTGAAACTCAAGAAGCACTGGACAACGGGGCAGACAGTACCACAAAAGTTCAATACGGCCTTTCTTCAGGATACTAACAAACTCAACAAATTCAAGATAGTCCTCAGCAACAAGTTCCAGGCCTTTCATGATCTACTCAATGGAGAAGGAACTACTGTGGAGAGCAACTGGAAGGGGATCAAAGAGGCAAACACTTCAACATGTCATGAGGTCCTGGGTCACAAGAAGCACCACCACAAGGAATGGATCACTGTTGATACACTGGATAAGATTCAAGAAAGAAGAAACAAGAAGGCAGCGATCAATACCAGCCGAACAAGAGCAGAAAAAGCTAAGGCACAAGCTGAATACACGGAAATGAACAAACAAGTGAAAAGGAGCATCAGAACCGACAAACGTAAATATGTGGAAGATTTAGCAACGACGGCGGAAAAGGCTTCAAGAGAAGGAAACATGAGACAATTGTATGACACGACAAAGAAGCTCTCTGGAAATCGCCGCAAACCAGAACGACCAGTGAAAAGCAAGGAAGGCAAGGTAATCACCCACATTGAAGAGCAACAAAACAGGTGGATAGAACACTTCAAAGAACTCTTGAATCGACCAGCTCCACTGAACCCACCCAACATCGAAGCAGCACCCACGGACCTCCCAATCAATGTTGGCTCACCAACAATTGAAGAAATCAGCATGGCCATCAGGCAAATCAAGAGTGGCAAAGCAGCAGGACCGGACAACATCCCGGTAGAGGCACTAAAAGCAGACGTAGCGGCAACTGCAAGGATACTCCACATTCTCTTCAATAAGATTTGGGATGAGGAACAAGTACCAACAGACTGGAAAGAAGGACTTCTGATCAAAATACCGAAGAAAGGCGATCTCAGCAAGTGTGATAACTACAGAGGCATCACTCTTCTCTCTATACCGGGAAAAGTCTTCAACAGGGTATTGTTAAACAGGATGAAGGACTGCGTAGACGCCCAACTTCGAGACCAACAGGCAGGATTCCGTAAGGATAGATCGTGTACAGACCAAATCGCAACTCTACGGATCATTGTGGAACAATCAATTGAATGGAATTCATCACTCTACATCAACTTCATTGACTACGAAAAGGCATTTGACAGCGTGGACAGAACAACACTATGGAAACTTCTTCGACACTACGGCGTGCCTCAGAAGATAGTCAATATCATACAGAACTCATATGATGGATTACACTGCAAAATTGTGCATGGAGGACAGTTGACAAAGTCGTTCGAAGTGAAGACCGGTGTTAGGCAAGGTTGCTTACTCTCACCGTTTCTCTTTCTCCTGGTGATCGACTGGATCATGAAGACGTCAACGTCTGAAGGAAAGCGCGGGATACAATGGACATCTAAGATGCAGTTGGATGATCTAGACTTCGCAGACGATCTGGCCCTTCTATCCCACACGCAACAACAGATGCAGGAGAAGACAAACAGCGTGGCAGCAGCCTCAGCAGCAGTAGGTCTCAACATACACAAAGGGAAAAGCAGGATTCTCCGATACAACACAGCATGCACCAATCCAATCACAATTGACAGAGAAGATTTGGAAGATGTAAAAACCTTTACATATTTGGGCAGCATCATTGATGAACAGGGTGGATCTGATGCAGATGTGAAGGCGCGAATCGGCAAAGCAAGAGCAGCATATTTACAACTGAAGAACATCTGGAGCTCAAAGCAACTGTCAACCAACACCAAGGTCAGGATTTTCAATACAAATGTCAAGACAGTTCTACTGTATGGGGCAGAAACCTGGAGAACTACAAAAGCCATCATCCAGAAAATACAGGTGTTTATTAACAGTTGTCTACGCAAAATACTTCAGATCCATTGGCCGGACACTATTAGCAACAACGTACTGTGGGAGAGAACAAACCAGATCCCAGTGGAGGAAGAAATCAGGAAGAAGCGCTGGAAGTGGATAGGACACACATTGAGGAAAGCACCGAACTGCGTCACAAGACAAGCCCTCACATGGAATCCTGAAGGTCAACGGAAAAGAGGAAGACCAAAGAACACATTACGCCGAGAATTGGAGATAGACATGAGAAAAATGAACAAGAATTGGATGGAACTAGAAAAGAAGGCCCAGGACAGAGTGGGTTGGAGAATGCTGGTCAGCGGCCTATGCTCCATTGGGAGTAACAGGCGTAAGTAAGTAAGTAAGTAAGGTCAGATTTAAAACTTTTCTAGTTTCCAGTAACTTTAACAACCAACGGTCAAAGCATTCTACGATCGCCCATTAAGTGAATTAAAACTAAGGGAAGATTTATTATTGTACAACTTAAGTTTTACTGGATTTCCTTTTTTTGATACCAATCACACAGCAATCTTAATTAATACGAGTTATTTTCTAAATATCTTTAAGTTTATAAATACAAAGAAATTCCAGTTAGTAGGTTTATCCATAATTCAGTAATTTTTATTACTGATCAACTTCAGAGGGACTACTGAAACTTGGAAAACAGTTTGTGCCAAGTATTTTTTTAGTTTAAGACTCATCCTCAGTAAATAGAACCCGATTACCGTTTTTTCATTCATATTTCGTCTAAATCTATTTAAACACTCTCACTAGGGATATCATTTTCACAGACACACATTATCTAACATACCTTGTAATTTTTACCTCGTTAATCTACAGACTTACCCAAATCAATGAACGGATGGCAACTTTTGTCCCTGAAACAGAAACTACACCTACCTCTTTTGATAGTACTGCACGAAACCCACTCAATTCTACTAATATGGCAGCTGGAAGACTTAGTCAACTGCATACAGCTAAACGACATCGTGAAATTCTTCGTGATTATTCTCAGGAGTTTCGTCAAACTAAAGCTAAACTCATTGCTGCACGTGAACGTGAAAACCTTCTAGGATCTGTAAGTAATCTTTTTTATTTTGAGGGTTTTTCTTGAATATACGTATGGAAAATTACAAGTCATCCATTTATTACTGAGGTCCTTGGAACTTGAGACATACTCTTGAAGGGACCTGGTGATACACCTCAAAATCACTTGTATTGAAACGTGTTCACTGTTTGTGCTTACTTAAATATTTGACATCTGACTACTCGACCAGCTTTCGTATGTTATCGTTAAGTGTAGCAGTTTAATTTGATAAACGTATCGGATGAAGCCGTACGTTGCTCATCTGTCGAATGTAAATTCTTATGAAATCGTTTTGCGTTGCTTAACTAATGTCATATATTATTCGCTGACTATCCACTAGCAATTTAAATACAAGAATCTGATTTTTTTACTGTATTTCACTAACTAATTTAAAGTTATGCAGAGCTACTAATCTTGATGAATCAGCCTCGAATCCTTTTAAGATTATGAATCGCTTGTATCAAATAGTATCTATTATGGCTTTTCATTTTCTTTCGCTGAAACGACACGTTTTTGTCTCTTCTTAGTGACTAAACGGTCTCACAGCTCACACGCAATAATGATCTCCAATCAACAAAACGGAGATTATAATTTATGGATATTTCGCTTAAAAATAGTTTGTTGTCTGTCTGCTTTCATTGATTTCCAATACACAGTTGTGTTTGGTAGAATTATTAGCAAAATTCAACATCTGTACTCTTTGAGTGACATTGCAAGAATGTTTGGGTAAGCTCTCAACACCAGTATTAAATATTAAATCCAACTCAGTACTAGTTTGCGTACTTGTCTTCAAGCCATAACATCTTTGAAGGGCTAGTGATACGAAACAGTCTTCCAAATCAATGTAAGTAAAGTGTATTCTGGACTGATACTCAGTAGTTGAATGCTGAACATTCTAACTACTGTGCATAAGATTCTGGTTTCAATATGCGTGTCTTCCACTTTAGCTTCTGTAATACACACTGTCGCTGTTATAAGAGTAGTAGGCACAATTAAGGCTATGTATTGTAGGTTAGTCAATCCGTGAGTCCTGAGATGCGGAGCAGACAATGTAGTAATCTAAAAACAACCTTGAATATAAACTGAAGTCTTCACTTGGTGTTTAAAACGACATCACATCTTTTGATGCGTTGCTTATTACAAACGATATTTGTTCTTTATATTCCTTAGTATTTCCTTTTTCTATGTGTTTCACGTTATTTTGTTCTTTAAAAATATAGGTTTATCGAGACACAAACTCCACAACTGTAAATCTAAGCGGTGATTTTACTTCAAAACCTCAATCTGATGTAGATTCTTCCGGTGGTAATCAACGTTCCGGTTTACAGTCAAATATATCTAGTTCAACTCGTTTACTTCTAGATGAACAAGAAAAATACCATCGCTCTAATCGTCTGTTGGATGAACATTTAGCTGCAGCATCAACAATACGAGCCGCATTACGTGCCCAACGCTTCGCACTACGCACTGCCTCAACAGGTCTATCGAATTTAAGTTCCCGTTTTCCACAGGTAAAGAAACTGATCAATAAAATTGACTGGAGACACAAGCAAGACTCAATTGTTTTGGGGCTAGTCATTGGTTGTTGTGTTGTGTTTCTGCTAATTTACCGCTTCTTTTGAGTTATATGCATATATATTACTTATTTTTTTAGAAGGTAGTACTGTGATGTTTTCACTAATATCTTGTAATTTCAAAGTACGAATGAGGTGCGTGTGAGTATGTACATGTATTTCTGCTATTGTTGATATTATTATTACTAATCCCTTACTTTTCATGTTGCCAATATCTTCTCACTAATAGTATCTGAAGTTTGGTTTTTCAAGTTGATACACAATGTTTAGCTTTCACAAATAGAGGGGTCTTAAAAAATGGAATAAACAAGCTATATCCCAAGTCTATTGATAAAAACCTAACCAAACATGTTTAGACATGTTCTAAAATAGTTCCTGTAAATCGGCATGGAGCAAACCCAGGGTATCTTAAGGAGAATATCTCCATAAACATATTGAATTAACATAATAAAAATCTTATGGGAATTGCTATAAATAGGGGGAATGTTTTATGCACACCTCAATTTTAGTTAACGTTATTAATAAAAAAATACATACACATTCGAGAATTTCTTACTAAGCAACGTATTCTTTTCTTACAGAGCCAATTAGATCCAGTATTTTTTTTAAAGAAATAGGGTATTCCCATAAATAATAAAATCGCTTTGTATTTCCAGTACATAAGTTCTTTTCGTAAATACTAAGAAGAAACATAGAAACATCTCATTTCTGTTTAATACTCTAACCTTCGAAATATATACGAAGTTGAACTATTTACCATCTTAACCACACATTTTCACGGTCACACTTTAAGGTATTCATATGCTTAAAAACCAAAAGCTTCGACCAGTGTAACTCGCTTCATATGGGAATTTGGACTTATCAGTGATAAAAACATGATGAAAAATTTTAAAGATTACATTTTATGATCATTTATCTGTGAAAGGTAGTAATTATCTAATAACTATATTAACAAATGAAGACTTTATTTGGTTAAAGTTTTCTCAACAAACCGAAACTATTAAAAAGAAGGTAGTTCTCGTCATTCACTAACACCATCTGAAAGGCAGTGAAAACTGGGCAGCTATATAGTCCTAATTTGATCATTCTCAGCCATGTGCACATCATATCCCCGAAGCTTCAAACGGGACCAAAACCTAACACTTTATAACCTTATAGTAAGCTTGATACCCCCAAATGCTCTGGTACGGCCGAGGGTGGGGAAGTCCGTTCCCTCTCTAAATGCTCTCATATGGCCACGCGTATACAGCCACTTCTAGGGAAGTCCTACTCACTGCCTTCTCGCGGCGGTAACTACATACAATATATTTATCATTTTTTACAAACACCACAACAGTTTTGATGGAATTCCAATCACAAAAGTATATTAAACAATTGGGTAAGATCTTTTTCGAAAACAAGAAATTTTCATTAAGTTCGCTTAAATACGCGAATAAACTATTAAATAATTATTTCAGTAGTTGAGATCATGAGTCATTTGAAGCTAGACCACCATGAAAAACCTGGAAGCATTGGACGACAATTTCGTCCTAGTGTGGAACTCCAACAATCCGCATCCACGGTCCCGTCCCACGGAATTCGAACCCAAGACCTAACAATCCCTCGAGTGAGTACTTAACCACTAGACCATTGAGCCGGCATCCAACGGTGTTAATGTCTAACTTCAATCAATTCACGAAATCGAGCGATGCATCCACCATTATCAGTGAGTTACTATTGTAGGATTTAATTTGTCCTGCGGATGTACTACTAGAACCGTAAACGCGATACTAGCGATCACAGAGTCTATGTGAAAGCTATAGTCAGAACAAGGACAATTCGGCTTTAGGCTTTATCTGTTTCGATCAGTATTGGGTGTTTTATCGAAATGAATAAAACTATGAGTCACACTAATATAATAGGAAAATAATGTCTTTCAATTGGTGTGTCACATGCACCAGGGATACTTTAGAAACACATCAGACCAGATCAACGTGGTGGGCGCTTAAACAACGATTTGATTGGTTAACCATGGACATAACTAGCAACTATCTCACAACAGATATCCCCCTTCTGATATTAATCAACATATGCTCACTAGTGACTGGCTTTAACAGGTATATCCTGGAGTTCTAGTGCAAAGCAGTGACCAGTAGAGTTCAACCGGGTCTGTTGTGAGATAGTAACTCACTGATGATAATGGTGGATGTGTCTCTCAATTTCGTGGATTAGTTGAATTTAGACATTAACACCGTTGGATGCCGGCCGGCTCAGTGATGTAGATGTTAAGCGTTCGCGCACGAGACTGATAGGTCCTGGGTCCCAATTCCATGGGACCGGATCGTGGATGCGCGTTGTTGAGAAGTCCCACACTAGAACAAACTTGTTGTCCAATGCTTCCAAGTTTTCCATGGTGGTCTAGCTTCAAATGACTCATGATCTCAACTATTGAAATTAGTATAATATGCATAAAAACCTCTTCTGATATTAAATATTAGTTTTGTTTCTATTATTTGAATCATAAAGTATCTGATATTCACATAGAAGATCAATAAAGAAAAAGAGTTAAAGCAACAATAGATCGATTCATCTAGTTATTTCATATAATGAATTTGGCACTGGATAATATTTTACGAAGGTTATTCGTAACTTATTTAGGTATAATTTCATATAATTCTTTTTGATTTTCGTGTCTATAATTTCGAACACACTACCAGTACTTTGTTGTATTTTCTTTGTCTAACCAAATGCTAACTCCTAAAATACATTTTTATTACGATTAGTAAAGACGTTATTGTGCGTACAACTACTTTCAAGTAAGCGTTCTATTTTCAATTCAAAGTTATCTTCTACTACTTAAGCATTGTCAATATATATGTATACAATTATGCTGACCTGGTCAATGCACTAGGCGATATTTCAGTATAATAAGTCAAAATCAGTATTCTAACGATGGTAAAATCCAATGTCTTGTTGAATCTCAGCTGCTTATTGAGTTAACAGTTATTTCTATAAGTTTAAATATCATTTAACTGAGGTTCTCATAATCAGACCGATTGGATTTGTGTAAACACACATTCAAAACAATTTTGTTCATCTTACGAATGAAAAGTTTAGGTATAAATGACCGACTATCGATTAAAATTACATATTTTTCAGTAACCAATAAGATTATACAAACTTAGAGGAAGTTATACATAGTTAAGATCAATAAACTTCAGTTGAATTTTTCCCAGATTCTCCATTGAACTGATAGTTTATCTCCTATCTCCAAATTAAAATACATGAAATGTCTAATAGCATACCCCCTGTTCCTTTAGCCGGGTGATCAACAGCACTACCCAAATGAAATGAAGAATATATTACCTGGTACAATACCAAGTTTTCAAAGCTTGAGGGAAAAAAACAAGATCAAATTATTCTAAAGACAACTTACAGACATCCTAGAAAATTACGAAATAATTCTGTAATCACATCAAAACAGTTTGATAGACTAAAATCGTCAGACTCTCTAGCATTACGACTCTATGACCTACTGATACAGAAAGCTGCAATATCCATCCATCACCGTACCACTAAATTGCACAATGAATAATACAGGTCCTTGAACAAATAATGAGATAGATCTACCTATATATTCTATGACATAATGGAGTTCATTGATTCAAGACGTAAAGTAAATATTGCGAGTACGCGAAATAATAAAGTCAAAAATGCTTAATTATAAATACTATTAAGACTGGGAACAAACTGAAGACTATCTAGTCTATTGTCGTATAACTTGAGGTCATCAGAGATCTCTGACTGTTTATATGAACAAGAATTATTTAACCAAAAATATTTGCAATCTTAACTAGACTCTGTTCACCTGTCTGTAGTGTATTACGACTTAAGTCTGATAATTTTTTATAGCTCTATGGGATTATTATGAAGTGTATATGACAGATTGGAAATAATTGTTCTATCCTAGGACCTGTATGTCCTAAACTGAAATAACCACAAAACACAGACAGGAAATCATTGTGTGCTGAATAGTAGTCTAAGGGTGTCATACTCACCAAAACACCTGATTTTCCTTGTTTTCACTTCAAATGGAATCAATAGCGTACATTGCTGAATAGTCTTTCAATAAAAATATAGAGCTGAGCGATACTTCTGATAAGTCTTGCTAATTTGAACGCTTTATTCAGTTCGTAAGTTATTCTGGTAACCCGCAAGCTAAAACTACGCAGCGACCTGAACACGAGAGAAAAGGCGCAAATTAAGCGAAAAGCACTTTACTCCGAAGGTTCATTTTTGCACAGAAAAACATGGGTATTTATAGATTATTAGCATTTGTCAAATCAACATTATATTTTGGCCAATTCGTTAAAAGGCATATTGTGCTACTGACCAATAATAGCATACCACGTTAATATTCTAGAAAGCTCCCTCATACTCTAGTTGGCTGAAACTATTCGGCTCCTTTAGGGCCTCTGGAGGCTCCGTTGTAGTTCTCAGAAGCCGACTCAACAACTCAGTTCTGAACAGTTCCAACACTAACTTTGGTATCAGTTCGTGAGGAAAATCTGTTCTATACGCTTATTTCTTTAAGGATGTAATATCTAACACTTCAGTTATTTGTATTAATACGTAGAATGGAGAGATAGTCATTAAACTACAATGTTCACACAGTCATTTGACGATAGACCGTAAAATGATGGATATTTGAGCCTCGAGTGGGTGTTTTTGGTAGATTATTATTCCCTGGGTTGGATGATTTAGTTGCAAAACCATAGTCGTACAGGACGACATCAACAATGCCTTCCCAATATAGACAACATATCTATATAGATTCAGTTTATTATTCAACAAAGAAAAAGTCAAGTATTATGGCTTAGAATGCCAACCGATATCACGTGCTATATTGCCGAATTGTAATTTCGATTAGATCACCAAATCTCTAATAGGACTGGTGACTTTCTATTTACCGAACAACACAGCGACCGGTGAACAAGAACCCAACTCTTGTTGATTCTCGAGCTCCTTGTAACCTAGTAGTCAGTCAGAAGACCCAAATGGGAAGCAAACTAGTTTGCTACTGTAATCAATTCAGTCGTTATTCAATATAATATAATATACACAGATTGAACTCATGAGTCAGTTGAAGCTAGACCACCATTGAAAACCTGGAAGCACTGGACGGCTGTTTCGTCTTAGTATGGGACTCCCCAGCAGTGCGCATCCACGAACCCGCACCACCCGGGGCTCGAACCCAGGACCTACTGGCTTCGCGCGCGAGCACTTAACCACTAGACCGCTGAGCCGGCATCCAACGGTGTTAATGTCTAACTTCAACCAATCCACGAAGTTGCGCTACCGTACACCATTGTCTTCAGTGAGTTCCTATCTCACAACAGACCTGGTTGAACTCCACTGGTAACGACTTCTCACTAGAACTCCAGAAGTGTCTCCTGAAGTCATTCACTAGTGAGCAGGTGATTGTTATTATCAGAATGTGTTTTGTGGAGAACGTATAAC